CACGTTTAAAAAAAAAAAAAAAAAAAAAGTAGTAGTAGTAGTAGTAGGAGAGAATCCAAAATGTTGATCAAGGCAGCTTCACTCCTCTAGTGTTCACAACCTCTGGTGGGATGGGCCCAAGTGCAAGATGTTTCTCGCCAGACTCGCGGAGTTGATCTCCGAACAGAAGCAGCAGCCCAGAAGTTATGTTACAGCCTGGATGAGATGTCGACTGTCCTTCTCTCTCCTTCGGTCGGCTTTGCTTTGCCTCAGGGAACGAGAGAGCTTCTGCCCCTACTCCGACAACTGCTGCAGATATTGACTATGAGGCTACAGTCACTGAATGCCGCATAGATCTGCGGCTCAACTAATTTAACACAGATAGGATAGCTTCTTATGTATTAGGATATTAATATTAAGGTAAATAAATGGTGGCGAAGGTGTGGCTATTGGGGGAGGCTGGAGGCCACGTAAAAAAAAAAAAAAAAGTAGTAGTAGTAGTAGTAGTATTAGTATTAGTATTATTTCAATATTATTATTATTATTATTATTATTATTATTATTATTATTATTATTATTATTATTATTATTATTATTATTATTATTATTATTATTATTATTATTATTATTATTATTATTATTATTATTATTATTATTATTATTATTATTATTATTTTCTTCAATTTTTTTACCATACTGATAATCACATCAAGAAAATTTTTCGTGTGCAATGGAAAAAAAAAAATATCACCATCTTGAGTACGATTACAAGGAGACGCTATTTTTTTTCACTCACACAGTTCACTTACCCCTTCAACCTCCCTCCCTCCCTCCCTCCCTCCTCGCCTCTCCCGAACCCCCCATCAACCGTCCTCTCCCCTCCCTCCTAACCCGCCTACGAACCCCCTCATCCACCTCGCCTGAAAGTTATGTCAAGGCTCTGAATGATTTGTGCATTATTTTTATTTTTTATTTTAACACGGGGCAAGAGGAGAGTTTTAGTAAGATATAGTCTCAGTGTATGTAACTCTTATTCATGCTATGTTATGCTATGCTATGGTGAGAATTAATTTGAATAAGACAGAAAAGTTATGGTAGGTAAATTAATGTTTTGGGTTTTGGGGGAGAATTTGAAGTTCAGGATTACTCGTGTGGTCAGTGTCACGTTATTTTACTCAGGATATTTTCATTACTTGTTATATATTTTTTCTAGCTATTATATCATGTTTTGTTTTTTTAATCCCAGGTACATAAAAGACCAGATAGATTCCTTCCTGCCTTGAGAAACTTTCACTTATCCTTGATGTAAACAGTTGAGGATCGAAATATTATTTTACCCTTTTTTCTAGAATTTTCTAAGACGGCACAAAAACGGACCATAAACTCCCCCCAGAATACGAATTGAGAAATTGATTATTGAACACCTGTGAGTCTTAATGTTTTTTTATCCATTATATCACGCCATTTGATATTAAAAGATGCATTTTACTGTGGTCGGGTTATGACGTTCAGTCAGACGGACATTCAGCCACTCGTAGAAAGTATTGATTAATTTTGATCCTCGTCTGATAAAACTCTCACACTTGCATTACATGACTCTGTAGCTGCTCATGAAGGATTTTCTACCTTTAATCCGTAATAAACTGATTATTATTAACCGCAATGTTTATAGTGATAGAGTTAGGTGGCAGAGTGAATTTAACGCTCGTCTTTTGTCTTAAGAGTCACTGATTCATACCCAGGACACCATCCCCAGTCCTCCCAGATAAGGCACTTAATTTTACTGTATAATTGGTGATGTTTATAATGATTATATAAAGACGGTCAGATGCAACGCCAATCACGCTACCTCCCTGTGTACCTAAACCAACTCTTACTAAGGCTGCATTTACACCAAGCCAGTTAAGTCAAGTCAAGTCAAGTCAAGTCACGTCAAGTCATGATTCATCGTGAATCGCCACTCTAATGCACATTTACTCCAATGTATATTCTCAGAAACCATTCCCACCAGATGAGTCAAGTCAAGTCAAGTCACGTCGCATCGTGTCACGTCAAGTCACAGAAGGGGTTGGGTCCATTTTCTTCATCAGTCACGCCGAGTCCTCAGTGGTGTGTACATCATGCAGGTTGACGTCCTGATAAATTTAGTTCGAGAGCGTCCTGCTATATATGATCCCACTGATCGTAGGAACCGGGATCATGATGTTATAGCTGCTCTGTGGAAGGAGGTTGCTGCTGCATTGAAATGTAAAGGTGAGCTTCCAAAATTGGGTCTTTT